CCCACTCCTTTATCATGCGTCAGTGAAACTCCCACTGACCACAGCGATTACGTCATAAATTTGAGTAATTGCGACATAAACGAACATGAACGCGCACAACTCCGCCAACTGCTGCGCAAGTATGACGATGTTTTTTCCAAACACCAATATGATATTGGTAGCTGTACGGCGGGGAAGGTCCACATCTATACAAACAACGATCCCCCCGCCAAAATCCGACCCTACAGGGTCCCAGCAAAATATCGGGAAGAATTACAGAAGCATGTCAACATGCTACTCAAAGCGGGCGTAATGAAGGAATCCAACACCCCATGGGTGCACAACCTCGTCGTAGTTCGTAAAAAGGACAATTCATTGAGAGTGTGCTTGGACATGCGTCGCCCTATAAACGCGGTAACCTAAAACCATCCCGGACCCGTACCCAGTACCGCGCATTGACGATGTCCTAGAGAAAATCGGTGGACACCAGTACTACACCACATTAGACTTAGCCAGCGGATACCTTCAGCTCCCGTTAGACGAAGAAAGCAGCTTCAAATGCGGCGTGATAACCGAAAATAAGGTTTACCAAATGACACACTTGCCTTTCGGCCTCAAGTCCGCGGGTAGCTATTTCGCGCGCGTAATGGCGAAGGTACTGGGAGGTCTACACGACAACGTTCTCACTTATATAGATGATATTCTCATCTATAGTGATGACTTCCCCTCTCATTTGGAAGCCATAGAGAAGGTTCTTTTGAGGTTTCGAGAATTCAACCTTAAAGCGTCACCCAAGAAATGCGTATTTGCTCAAAAGCAAATAACCTTTCTAGGCCACGAAATCACAAAAAATAACTACTCCCCGGCGCAAACCAACACAAAAGCCGTCCGCGAGTTCCCCGTACCGAAAAATGTGAAGGAGGTTAAACGCTTTCTAGGCATGGTAGGATTCTTTAGAAAATTCATTCCTAGCTTCGCGAACATAGCCGAGCCGCTCACGCGACTAACGCGCAAAGAGAACAAATTCCAGTGGAATGATGAGCAGCAAGCTGCTTTCATGGAGTTAAGAGATTCCCTGCTCCAGAAGCCCATTCTAGGTTACCCCAACTACAACCAGCCTTTTCACATATTTACCGATGCCAGCGCGGTGGCCCAAGCCGCAGCACTCATGCAAGAGACCGTGGCAGCCAGCGGTAAGTTTTATGCTATCGCATATTGTAGCAGAACGCTATCTGACACCGAAAGACGCTGGCCCGCAGTCCAAATAGAGCTTGGTGCCATAATCTACGCGCTAAGGCAGTTCAAACCATACATATGTATGACAAAAATAATCCTCCACTGCGACCACAAACCTTTGTCGTTCCTGCTTAGTAAAAGTAAAACACACGATAACCTTGCTAGATGGATGATAGAATTACAGAGCTACGATATAAAAGTAGTTCACATAAAAGGCGAAAAGAATACGGTGGCGGACGCGCTATCACGCGTCTTCGAGGACAAAGGGGATGCCTCCACATCCCATGAGGAACTCAAAGACATCATCGACTTTCCCGTAAGTTTCTGTGTGTCGCACGCGCACCCTAGCGAAAATGCTGTACCTGCGACCTTTCCCAAACGGACATACATCCGCGGTATGGAAACTTCCGTAGAAATGGCCCAGGAGCAAAAGAACGATGTTTTTCTCAACAACATCTATCTAATTAAGACCAACACTCCTTTGCCAGACACCGTGCCCGAGGACGAGAAGTCTCGTCTGTTCGAAATGGCCAGCAAGGTACTCCTCAAAGAGGATGGTTGTCTGTATTATGAGATTCAAAGCAGGAACTGTACCAAGCAACTCATGCTTATCCCAGATACTCTTAAAAGCCTCGTCTTTGAAGCATATCACTCTAGCCAACTTTCAGGCGGACACATGTCATGGAGGAAGACCCTAGCCAAAATCATGCGCAAATACTACTGGCCGTCTATTTATGCAGACATCCGCCAATGGTGCACGCAATGCATGGCATGCCAACTCCGCAGACAAGGTACGTCAACGTCCAAAGAATACCTAATACCAGTCCATAGCGAAGCAGTCTTCGCCAAAGTAGGCCT